ACAGTGGTGCTTAAAAGTTTATGAACCCTTTTGAATTTTCAATATTTCTGCATAAATATGATCTAAATTGTGATCTGTTCTCCACACAAGTCCTAAAACTAGATAGAGAACCCAATTAAACAAATGAATCAAAAGCATTATACTTGTTCATTTATTCATTGCAGAAAATGATCCTATATATATATATTTGTGTGTGGCAAATGTATCTGAACCTCTAGGATTACAGTATCAGTTCATTTGAAGGGGAAATTAGAGTCAGGTGTTTCAATCAATGGGATCATAATCAGGGGTGAGTGTGGGAGGTCCTGCCTTATTTAAAGAACAGAATTCTGGGTATTCACTATCGAAATCTGATCTTCATAACACAGTACGTGGAAATGTGTCATGGCTCGAACAAAGGAGATTTCTGAGCACCTCCGAAAAACAGTTGTTGATGCTCACCAGGCTGGAAAAGGTTACAAAGCTATTTCCAAAGAGTTTGGATCCCACCAGTCCACTGTCAGGCTGGTGGACTGTGTACAAATGGAAGCAATTCAACACCACTGTTACACCCCCAAGGTTGACCAACCAAGACCATATCAAGAGTAACGTGTGTAATACTATGGAACGTCTCAAATAACCCCAGAGTAAGGTCTAAGGAACTAAAGGTCTATCTTGCATTGGTGAATGTCAGTGTTTATGAGACCACCATCAGGAGTACACTGAACAACAATGGTGTGCATGGCAGGGTTGCAAGGAGAGAGACACTACTGTCCAAAAAGAATATTGTTGCCTATCTACAGTTATTCCGTAAAATAACTAGACCATGTGGATAAACCTGGCTATTGGAAGAATGTTCTGTGGATGGATGAGACCAAAATAGAACTTTTTGGCTTGAATGAAAAGCGTTATGTTTGGCAAAAGGCAAAGACTGCATTCCAGCTGAAGAACCGTGTCCCATCTGTGAAACCTGGTGGTGGTAGTATCATGGCTTGGGCCTGCTTTGCTCCCTCTGGACCAGGACGGCTTGCCATCGTTCAAGATGGTGGTCATGTAAAAGCCATGCAATTTAGGCATCATATAGATATTAAAAGGCTCAGGACATGAGAACAAGCCTAACTTACACTCAACAAAGAGCAATACAGTACTGACTTCTGCTTATTCAGTGCCTGTATATCTGCATGAGTCAGGAGAGAAATATTTCTGTAATTGGTATTTTTATAATATTTAGGGCCCTTTTATCTTGCCTTTCTATTTGCATCCTAGCCCCCTTACAGCCTTAACTTGTAGCCTGATTTCTCTATTACTTGGTCTCAACAACATTAACCTAGAAATACTTGCCCTTCTTTCTAGTTCATTTTTGGTTCAGTCTTTCAAGCAACTTTTATTGTTATCCTGTCATCTTCCCACTGAGAGCAGTAATGAAAACTGCCTCCAGTATTTCCTTTACTTAAAAAAAATCATAGCCACAAAAAAACACCTGGATTTCTCATTGATTTTGAGTTTTTGTTATTTCACTCCCACTTTTTGTATTGCCAGTGATGAAAGCCTGAAGGTTTGTGTTTGTACATGCTAAGCTTACAGCAGCAAAGAGTTTAACACGTTCTTGCATATCCAACGTTTATAAAAATTCAGCATTACTCACCCACACACATAAAAATATCCTTTCTCCTGCAGCAAAATCCTGGTAATCTCTTTACAATAAAGCCGGAGGTTATCTTGAACATACTTAGGAGGGGCAGTTTCTGCCCCAGCTGGAACATCTCTTGAGAAGCAAACAATCAGATGAGTTAACGCACCATTTTCAAGAAAGCACCTGAGCTCATCTCTGAAAAAGAAAGCCAAGGAACAGGCTTCAATGAAGAAAATATGGTTCCTGTGGCTAAATGTTAAAAGTACTAACAAAGGGCACAAGACAACTTACTGGAACAAGTAATCTCTGGCCTTATGGCGGCAGCCAAAAAACAACCACGACTCTCCAAATATATAATCTCTGTGCTTTTCTCTGAGCTTCTGCCTAAATAAGATATCCAATTAAAAATAATAATACTGTTATAAACTGGATTATGTCTAGCTTCCACCTGAAAAAGCTAAATTTTGATTAGTTCCTGAAGGAGAAGCAAATTATAAATCTAAAAATTAAAATACTTGTCGCAAAGTAGTTTTTTTTACATTCAAAGAGTAACACATATCTAGTTGTTCCCTTCATTAATGTACAGAAGAATTATACATGCACAGCAATATGAAGGATTCTGGATCTGAGATTCCCATTGCTGCTAACAAATGCTAACAAAATTACTGTTTTGTACTTATTAAGGCCCTCAATTATGGT